CTTGCTAAATCAGTGAGCGCTCGAGCGCACAAACTTCTAGCATGATGATGTGTTTCATGGGTCCTAATCCTCTGCCATGTCATAATTCGTGTCCAGCAGAAGGGAAGCGCACCCATGACATTGGACCCATAGGAAGTTTCACTTGGTTGTTGATGCGTAACTTCATGTCATCACCTGAGAGACACAACAAATACTTGTTGAATTGCTTTATCTCTTGTACTCTACTAGTTGGTAATGTCTTACATGTTTGAGAGTACAATAGCATTTTTACAACTCGAAATTTCGCTCAAAAGGCCTGACATTGAGAAGCTGATCAACATATTGTTTCTCCTTTAGAGAGTCATGGAGAATTATTTGGTGTATGATATTATCTGTTCGTCACTAGATGATTATTTCAGGAATATTGGTCAACATTTAGCTACGAATGAAGTTGGTTCAGAGGTGTCAAATAGAGAGGTCAGATATTTTCCTTCCTTCTGGTTAGTTCCAGACTTGCTATTGTTTTAGTTACTTTCTCAGTGCATTATATCAAAATCTTGTATTCCTATTGCCTTTATTTAAAGGGAAAAGTATATTTTTCGTCCGTGAACTCTCTCAAAAGTATAGAAATGATCTCTCGACTACGATACCGGCAAACTTTAGTCCCTCAACTTTTCAACCAGATTAGTTTAGTCCCTTGACTCAACAAAAATGGTTTTGGTGGTGACTTGGCATGGTTTTGACCGTCGTCTTCTACGTGGCAATCTTCTTCCTTCGTCTTTTCACTTTTCGTCGAGCAGCTGGCGTGCGCAGATAAAAAGGAAGAAAAGGACACGGGCGTGGAGCTTGTGTGGCTCGTGGCGCGCACACGGATGGTGCAGGAGGCCGGGGAGCTGCGACACGACGAGCCCCATCTCTCGCACCAAAATGATACAGGTTTTTATCGGAAAGAAACGGACGACAGTGCCGCACTTCGTGCCTGGCGTGGCACGTGGTGGCCGAAGCGTGAAGTGGAGGTACAGGTGAGCCTTGGACGCGGCTGGCGGCATGTTCTACGTGGCTGGTAGGGTCGCAGTATCCGATGATGGCGCACGGGATCTCGAGGTGTACGAGTGCACCCAGTTCGTGGATGCACTAGGACGCGGCAGCGGTGGTGATGGTCGTCAGCGTCCACAAGTCGATGAAGCGCCCCAGCACCATGGTCACCACGGGACTGGTGGTGACCGTGAGGACGAGCTCAAGAAGACGGCAATGGCGACGATTTAGCCGAGCTAGCCCTACACGCTGCCCATCGCTCCAGTCCTTGGCGCGGGTCGGCGGGTGCGGGCGTTGTCGCGATGGGGACGGATACGCACAGCAGGTACTCGCGCATTTGGCGTGAGCTTTGGAGAGCTGGAATGGGAAAGGAGCCTAGACACGCTAGAGACGACGAGAGGCTAGTTAGTGCAGTGGTACGACAAGATTTGAGCTATGGGACTAGCTAGGAGTGAGTGAGAGGAGCAGTAAATGGAGGGAGAGGAGTGTGTGAGAGTACGCACTTCGTCTTGGTGCTCGCGACACGACGTGCGCAGTTCCCCGGCCGCCTGCATCCTCTGCGTGCGCAGCCGCGAGTACAAGCTGCACGCCGAAATCCTTCTCCTGTTGCCGCGCGCGCGCCGGCTGCTCCACAAAATGCCCAGCTGAGCTATCATGGGAAGGAAGAAAAAACTTGCCACGTGGGCGACGGCCGGCGAAAACCATGCCAAGTCAGCATGAAAACCACTTTTGTTGGCCAAGGGACTAACCTAATCCGGTTTGAGAAGTTGAGATACTAAGGTTGTCGTTTTCAAAGTTGAAGGACCATTTCTATACTTTGAGGAGAATTTAGGGATGAAAAATATACTTTTCCCTTTTTTAAATGAGAGAAAAATCCTCACCTGAATATGATTTCATTTCAAAAAGAGACTGATCGCTGGTCCCTAAGGGAAATAAGAAAAGGATGGGGGAGGTAGACGACTATGAGGACGCATGCTCTTCGAATTATCAGTCAATTTGACAAAAGACCATCCCGAAACCAAACTACAAAACATGTAATGATGTAAAGCAATTAACCCGAATAAAATCAGCAGCATCCTCCGGCATCTAATAGCTGCAGACATCCTTTGCACGCCAACTTTTGCATCAGAATATGATAAAGTGGCCTCGGTGATAACCGCACTTTAAATTTACAAGAAACCATTAGGGCTTCAACATCGCGGGGATTTATATAAGATTACAACATTTTACAAGTGCTTTACCCGACGTTTTGTTCATTCTGTGAATTGCTCTCAGCACTACATAACACAAGTAATTAACTACTGACTAACAAGTAACAACAAAGGGGGAGGGTCAGTTCAGACTCTGGACACCGCTAGCCAATTTGTATCCCATGGACTTGGATGGGAAGACAAATGTTAATTCGGCCTAACATAGCCGAATCTGCAATAAAGATAATGTTGTTATTGATGAATCTAGAAAAAGCAAGGAGGGCGACAAGGTCTTGGGAAGAAAGATTGTTCTTGAGAAGCAACCCTATGGCAAGGGGGTGTTGAAGATCATTATTAAAAAATGGTACATTCGGGGGTGGGGGGGGGGGCAACCACAAGTACAAGAGGATACTCATGTTAAATTTATCAAGCCCAAGAATTCAGAAGTTGGCAAGTGGAAAAAGAATGAAACTAAGCATAAGAGAATCAAGCCAAATTTTGATATGTTGTTGTCCAAATATGCCAATTAAGCGGGCGGTTCTAACACTAATTAGCCATCGCCTTCGAAGCGTTCAAGATCATCTCCGAAGCAAGAATTTCGACGCTACGCAAGGCCACATGGGTCATGGGCACCAACACTGTGGATGTCCCACTATGCGCCATATTATGACTTCAATGGAGGTTGGGGGAAGAAACTAATGGCACCTTATGCTTTTCATATGGGGTGGGCAACACCCAGGAGGCATGCTCATGAGAAGATTTATTATCCTACACAAAGCCGATCAAGCCATCATGCTAATCCATGACCAGGATGAAGCTTGGATGAAACTAAGCAGAGGTCCGAACCGACTGATGTTGAAGAATCAGCGGATGAGTTGTGGTTAGTCGGCCAACAAAAATTTCTCCAAGCAGAGTCAATAAAAAAGTGTGACGTGTTAAGTAACCTAATGTGAAAATTTTAGAATGCGACAAGCAAAAGGAGATCAAAGAGCCGATTGTTGGTAATCTGACTAATTCTAATGGTGATATTGTTATTATTTAGTAGGGTTCCATGGCTAATGATCATGAGGCTAGCACAAGCAAGACCAAACTTAGGGATCCCAAATATACTCAACCTAAGTGGTGTCCTCCCGGTTTAACTAAGACCATGAAAAGGAGATTGCAACGCACGAGGAACCATGAGAAGGCAGCGCATGAAGTGGTGGAGCAAAGGGATGGATTGTTCAATGAAATTCGGCCCATGGCACCCTTAAAACAAGTGGGTGGCCTAAAAAAACACAGATGCTTCTACATTAATTACAACATCACCTACACCACGAAAAGAGGATGATGTGGCCCCTATTATATTGTCCACGCCACCTGAAACATCCCCTTCAATTGAGGAAACTTCAAGTCCAATATACACATTGGAAGATAAAGATGAGATGGTGGATTATGAATCTACGCCGGTTCGGGAAGGTATGGATATTAATATGGTGTATTACTTACCTGTTGAGTTTTGTGCTACATATGAAGAAGGAGAGGTAGCCCAACTAGATTTCGGTCCTAAGAACGCTAATCTTCGAGAAGCCAAAAGAATCGGTGAAACAATTGAAGCCATTGTACCTCAAAAGTCATATTAAGGGATCACGGTTGCTAAGATGCTCGTTGATGGTGGTGTTGTGGTAAATCTTATGCCGCATTTGGTCTTCAAAAATTGCGATTACATGATGATGCGTTGATGAAGGCCAATATGGTACTTAATGGATCTGAGGGTAAAGAAAAGACAAAGGTCAAAGGAATGATGTGCATGGAACTCACTGTGGGGAGCAAAACTTTGGCCACCACATTCTTCATCTCCGGGGTGTAAGGTAATTATAATGTTATATTAGGCCGCGATTGGGTTCATCCTAACCAATGCATGCCTTCTACCATGCATCAATTCTTAATACAATCGGTCGATGATGAAGTAGAAGTCATTCACGAGGATAATTCGGCTTATGTCGCTTTGGCCGATGCATTAGATCGGCGGATTAGAAT